TCTCTCGTCCGCCTTGGTTCTCTTTCCTGCATCCCTTCCCATCCGTCAATTCCGTGAGCGTGCACGTCAAAGGTTGCCCGTCGTATTCCCCCCTCAGTAGAGCGGGCGCCCCACAAAGGCCGTGGCCCTGTGGGAAGTGCAGGGCCTGGCAGGGGGTCGGCGCTCGATGGGCATTACCCCGAGGGGAGGATGATGACGGGGTGTCCGCCACAGGCTGCGCACCCTGGGTGTTCTTTATTGCCAGAGTAATAAAAGGCATGCGTGGCTGAAGTCTGTGCCAACCCGATTCTCCCCTGCTCCAGGGGACGGTGAGGGCGAGCAGGGGCAAGGCCCCTCCATGGCGCGACTCTCTGCCCTTACTCTGCATGAGCTCACGTCCAGCAGGATTCTGTCACCTTCCAAACAGGAGAGTTCGGAGCGGGTTCGCAGACTGAGCTCCTCGTTAAGACCGTCCCGCGTGACTTTCAGGAAACCGCATGAAGCTGATTCAATACAGTTAGGTTTGAGGAGGATCATCCTTTGGGGCCGTCTCTCACCTTGAGGCTCCTCGGAAGGCTCTGCTAGGACCCGTGGAGGTGAAGTCTCAAGTGTGCTTCATGAGAGGGATAAAACTGGCTTTGATGTTTAGTGAAAGGCAGTCGACGTGGCAACTGGGTCATTTACCTGGTGGGGGCTGGGAGTGTCACCTGTTGCTGTGTCTTAAAACAGGAGGCAGCGCCCGTTGAATAGGGGAAAATATAAAAATGAAAAATCCAATGAAAATATAGAAATGAACATCCTTGGATGTGTGGCATCTAATCAAAGGCGTGGGGACAGGGACGTGCCCAGGGACGTGCGCCTCAGATACCAGCTGGGTAGAAACAGGGTGAGTCAGACATCCGAAGGGTGCCCATCCAGCCTGCCTTACCCTTTGCCTTCCTCCTTAAAAGAATGCGATTTCTTCAATTTAGGCAAAACAAGTTTTTAGTTCTTTAAGATGAGAGCATCTACCTGAGGAGAGACCTGCCTTGAAAATTCCTGTCTTGGTTCTTCATAGAATCACAGACCCACGAAGTAATGACTGGTGCCCTTTACCTTCTTTAACCAGTGAGGTCATATTTCTGTCACGCCATCAGTATTCTTTGATGTCATTCATATCCGCTCCAAGAGGACCAGACTTGAGGCTTTCTATGTTAACTGAAATGTTTAGAATACAGGAGAGATATTTACATGGGGACGAGGCAGAGAGCCAGTTTAATCAAGTCAGAGCATCTCGCGTTCCTGCTGTGTGCGAGGCGCTCATTAGGTGCCCGTCGGGTGGGTGGAAGGCTGGTTACGCAGATTGGCTCATAGCGAGTGTTTGTGTAAAGGCCAGTTTCATCTCCCGAAGAAGGTCCTCTTTCAGCCTCCCCTCCTGCAGTTGCTTCACGCCGATGCAGGCAACTATTCGGTTAGCGGCGTTTGTAAGAGAGCTGGTGGCGGCAGATTTTGCAAGTTGTGAGTCTTTCAGTTATTAGTCAAGCTTCATGTGTGTGTGCTCAGACGCAGACGCACAGACGGACGTGCATGCACACGGCCTCATTGCACAATCCAGGTAATTCCCCAACGTGGCCGCGAGGTCACAGGAGCAGCTCGGTCGGCTGCTGCACCTGCTGCACCTTGGCCCTGGCTCCAGCACCCACGCACCTTCCTCAGGCATGTTTTAGGCCCAGAGTGCTCTGGGACAGAGAGAGAATTCTCTGGACAGGTTCTGATGGATGGTTCCCATGATTCCTACGAGTTAGATGCATGGATTGACACTCAGAGTGCAAATCGTAACGATAGCTGGGAAAACATGAGTCATTCCTGAGCATTTGCACCATCGGTCGACTGTGTACTGATGTTCAGTTCTCAGACCTAAAATTAGTCGTGAAACGCAGTGACTAGAAAACTGGTGAGCAGACTCGGAGGCGAAAACGCAGGACCTGGGCCCCGTCTGCTCTCGGGAGGGTGGGTTCTCATGCTGGAATTCCTCACTCTCTAAGTCTCCGGTCTTGAGACGTGTTCTCTTTAACTCAAGAGCTGTAAAGAAACTGATAAAATATCCCTAACGAGTGAATATGTACTTTCGTTTAAAATATTTTCGCTGCACCCTCATTTCAGAATGGACCTAGGAAACGCTCACACAAATACGTACAATGGAGCGAGGTAGAATCGATTTAAAAAATAAATGGATAGAGATCATGAGCTACGGTGAGAACAGAGTGAAACCAGGAGTGAGGGGTGTGTGTGTGTGTGTGTGTGTGTGTGTGTAGCTGAGCCTCCAAATATATATGTGCATATATATATATATATTTGTACATATGTAAAAAATATATATATTCTAACGCAAACTTTTAAATCATGCACAGTCGCCCAAGTTGTGTGTTATTTGACTCTAAGGTGTCAGCAGGCAGCACAAAAAAGAATCCCTTAATCGACACATGATTCAGTGCTCATAGGGTAAGAGGAAAACTAACATGGAAGGATGGCCCAGCTATTGAGTGAGTCCACAGAAGAGTGTGTTCTTTAGCTTGTAATAGGAAGATAACAGAGAAATCTCGAGAAAAGCCCTTAGCCAGTTGGGCCACCAGATTCTGGAAAGCCCTGGCTTACACCTGTCATCCTGGCAAAATTGTTGATTGTGCCTCTCAAAGTGTACTAGTTAGACAATAAATTATACCTATGCTTTTTATCTGTCATCTGTCTATCATCTATCTATCTATCTATCTATCTATCTCTATTATCTATCTATCTATTATCTATCTATCTATTATCTATCTATCTATTATCTATCTATCTATCTATCTATCTATCTATCTATCATCTATCATCTATCTATCTTAGTATGCTATATGCATATCTAGGTCTACACCTCATAGGGTTGGGCTGTTTCTTTCATGGTTGTAGATCAAGGTGTCATTCAGTGACATCATTCTTAGAGAGACTTGAGATGTGTGACCTAGCTAAATGGCTCTTTGATAGCTCAGTTTAATTTGGAGGCTGACTAGAAAATATGTCTCCAGGTATGATCAGAATCACTGCCATCAGGGTTGCCTGGGAAAGTTATGATTTTCAAAAATGCACATTTCCAGATTTTCTGCATCTGGATGTGGGGTTGAGGATTTTACATTGTTTACATATTTCCTTGGAGGGTTTTCATGCATAATAAGGTGTGAGAAGCTCTAATCTAGATAGAAGACGCTAAATAAATTTTACTTAGTTTATCTTAATTATTCTCAATTTAGGCATAATGTGTCGCTTTTAGAAGCGGGAATGGCAAAAAGAACAGAAAATAAGTTTCATATTGACAGTCAAAAAAAAAATGAAGAATCACCCGTTTGATAAGAAGGAACTTCTTCTATAAGATATATTTTTGGGGCCTGTCATTGGTTGGCCCAATAAATTTAGTAAAGGCCACATGTCAGGAAATTCATAGGAAAATTCGGGATCATTAAAGACACAAAATACAGTATGAGAGCCGATCAAGTACAGTTGGATCAAGTACAGTCCTAGGCCTGTATGCATTTCACTGGGTTCTTATCAACAGCCGAAATAGCCTGAGCACAGCGCTGGAATCTGACTTCCAGATGTTTCTAACTGCCTC